GAGCGGCCTGGGGGGGCCAGGACCCCCTTCCCTGGGCTGCGGGACCCCCTCTGACCGCCCCCCCCGCCGCCCCCAGGACCAGCTGGGGAGGGAGAAGGCTCAGCAGCACGATGAGACCTATTACCTGTGGGCCACCGCCTTCTTCATGGCCTTCAACCGGCGCCGCGGCTTCCGCCCGGAGCTGGTGTCGGAGACGGTGAGTGTCCGTGCCTTCCACTTCATCGAGCAGAACCTCACCAAGTACTACGAGATGGCCCTGATGGACAAGAAGGAGGCAACCACCTGGGCCCGCAGGTGAGCACCCTGGGCACCCGGACCCCCCCTGGGCATCTGGGACACCACCCCCGTAGTGTCTGGGGTTCCCTGGGCACCTGGGGCCACCCCGCTGCCGTCCCCAGGATGCACCTGGCCCTGAAGGCGTACCAGGAGCTGCTGCGGACGGTGCAGGAGATGGACCGGTCCCCCGAGCAGGCGGTGCGGGACAGCAGCCAGGTCATCAAAAGTGAGTCCCTCCATCCCTCCGCCCGTCCCAGGGTGGGGCTGTCCGACCCCCCCCCCCTCCCCCCACCCCCCCCCGCCCCGTCCTCCCCAGGCAACATCTTCTACCTGATGGAATACCGGGAGCTCTTCCTGGCGCTCTTCCGCAAGTTCGACGAGACGAAGCAGCCGCGCAGCTTCCTGCGGGACCTGGTGGAGACGGCTCATCTCTTCCTGCGCATGCTGGAGCGCTTCTGCCGCGGCCGTGCCAGCCTCGTGGTGCAGGTGGGGCGCGGCTGCCCCACCCAGGGGGACCCTGGCGGGTCAGGCAGCCCCTCCTGAGCCTGTTTTTGCCCCCTCCCCAGAGCAAACGCATCCGCAGGAAGAAGAAGCCGCGGGCGCCCGCGGCCCTCGGCCCGACACCACCCAGCACTGAGGAGCTGGAGGAGCTGTGGGCAGGATTGGCCCCGCAGCTCCAGGCCTGCCTGGAGGTACCAGGGAAGGGTCCGACCCCGCGGGGGCCTCTGGGGGTCCTGGCAGGGCGTGGGGTGACGGTGTCCCCGCCGCAGGGCGAGGTGCCCCTGCCCGAGGACGTGGTGCCCTTCGACGCCGCCTCGGAGACGCCAGTGGAGGAGCAGCGGGCGGAGGCTCTGCTGCGGATCCAGGGCTGCCTGCGGCATTCCCAGGTGCCCCAGGCCCTGAGGCTGCTCCGCTCCGCCAGGTACCGGCACCGCCATTCCCCTCTCGTCCTCGGGGGTGCGGGGACGTGGTGCCAGCCTGTCCCCTCCCTGTCCCCAGGGATGTCTGGCCCGAAGGGGACGTGTTCGGAGCTGCTGACGCGGGGCCGCCCGAGGAGACCCGGCTGCTGCGGGAGATCCTCGTCGCTCCCCTGCCCCGTGAGTCCCCGGGGAGGGGGAGAGCTCTGGGCCAGAAGGGAGGAGAGCTTTGGGGACCCTCAGCGCGTCTCACCGCAGGGAACGCACCCCCCGAGCCCGAGGAGCCGGAGGACGAGGAAGAGGAGGACGAAGAAGAGGAGGAGGAGACGGTGCAAGTGTCAGAGAAGGAATTCAACTTCCTCGACTACCTGAAGCGGTGAGAGGGGTCGGGCGGCCCCAGGGGCGCAGGGAGGGTCCCTCCCTGGGGCGGCCACGCTCACAGGGGTCCGTGGCAGGTTTGCCTGTGCCCCCGTGGTGCTGGGGGGTCCCTCCCTGGGGCAGCCACGCTCACAGGGGTCCGTGGCAGGTTTGCCTGTGCCCCCGTGGTTCGGGCGCTGGTGCTGCTGCTCCGGGGGTACCCACGGAACAGCCCCCGCACCAACCACTGCGCCGCGCGGCTGCTGCACCGCCTGGCCCGCGACCTGCACATGGAGCCGCTGCTCTTCCAGCTCTCCCTCTTTGCCCTCTTCCACCGCCTGCTCAGCGACCCCGCCGCCGGCGCCCACCAGGTCAGCGGGACCCCCGATGCCCCCCGTGTCCCCCCCGGCCCTGCTGTGTCCCTGCTGTGTCCCCCGGTCCCACTGTCCCTCCCGCTCTCCCCCCAGGAGCTGGTGGCCTTGGCCAAGTTCATCCTGGGCAAGTTCTTTGCGCTGGCGGCCACCAACAAAAAGGCCTTTGTGGAGCTGCTCTTCTGGAAGAACCCAACGGCCGCCTGTGAGATGACCAAGGGCTACGGCTCCCTGCAGGAGGGAGAGGGGTGAGTGGGGTCGGGGAGGGGGCTGTAACCCCCCTGAACCCCCCTTCTCTCCCCTCACCCCCCCTCTGCCTCGGCCCAGGGCTCCCAGGAGCCGGGTCCCCCCCTGGACCCCGCAGGAAGAGCAGGAGCTGCGGGAGCTGTACTGGAAGTACAAGGAGATGGAAGGTATCAAAGGACCCGGGGGTGGGAGGGGGGCAGTGGGACCCCCGGGGGGCAGGAGGGGCTCTGTCCCTGCACCTCCTGCCCCCGCAGGTGAGGACGTCATCGCTGCCATCCTGGCCCATCTCCCGACCCCCGGGCGGACCCGCAGGCAGGTGGTGAAGCAGCTGGTGAGGATGGGCCTGGCCAGCAGTGCCAGGGACTTCCCACGGGAGAGGTGGGTCAGGGATGCCCACGGGGGACCCCCGGGCCGGGGCAGGGACCCCCCCTCACCCCGGGGCAGGGACCCACAGCCGTGTCCCCCCCCCCCAGGAAGGGCACCCGCATCGTGCTGTGGACGCAGGAGCAGGAGGAGGAGCTGACGCGGCTTTTCGAGGAATTCCAGGGCTCGGACGGTGAGCGGGGCCGGGGTGGGAGGGGGTGGTCGCCCCCCTGTAGCCCCCCACGCTGACCCCCCGCCCCACAGACGTCCTGGGGAACATCCTGAAGCACCTGACGGCGCGGCGCTCGCGGGCCCGGGTGGTGGAGAAGCTGCTGGGGCTGGGGCTGGTGTCGGAGCGCAAGGAGCTGCACAAGAAACGCCGCAGGAAGAGCCACGGCCACGGCCCCGGGACGGTAAAAGGGGGATCTGGGGGGTCCTGGGCTGTGCCCAGCGGGTGCTGCCCCACCCCAGGCACCCGAACGCGGCTGGTCCCTGCAGGCTGCCACTGGTGCCCCGGCTGTGCCAGCCCAGGACAGCTCAGCAGAGGATGAGGACAGCGAGGAGGAGGAGGAGGACGAGGAGGAGGATGAAGTGGAGGAAGGCCCCATGGAGGAGAACTGGGCACCCGAGGAAGGGGCTGGGCAGGGCCTGGCTCGGTGTCTGCATCAGGAAGGTGGGCGAGGGGCTCTTGGTCCCCCCCCCCCCAGGTTGGGCTTGGCTCCAGGGCCAGACCCTTTGTCACCTTCTGCTGTCCCCAGGCCTGGCCGGGCCCCTGCGGTGGCTGGAGAACTGTCTGAGGAGGGCAGCGGGGGACAGGGAGGAGGACGGTGAGTGGGGAGGGTCAGGGGGGGCTGGGAGGAGGACGGTGAGTGACGGGGGGATTGGGGGACAGGGAGGAGGATGGTGAGTGGGGTGGGGGTCGGGGGTGCTGCGAGGAGGATGGTGAGTGGGGAGGGTCAGGGGGGACGAGGAGGAGGATGGTGAGCGGGGTGGGGGTCAGGGGGGACCGTGGGCTCGGGGGGTCCCACTGACGGTGCTCTGGGCCCAGGCGTGTCCCAGCCGGTGCCGCTGGTGCCGCTGACGGAGGAGAACGAGGACGCCATGGAGAACCGGCGCTTCCAGAGCCTGCTGAGGCAGCTGGGGCTGCGGCCCCCCGCCAGCGAGCAGGTGAGCTCCCCGTGCCCACCCCTGGCCCCGTGCCCACCCCTGGCCCTGTCCCCTCGCTCCTGGCACAGCCCTGCAGCGTCCCCCCCCTCTCTTCCCAGGAATCCTTCTGGCGCATCCCAGCCGCCCTGACCCCGCAGCAGCTCCGACGCGCGTCCGCCTCCGTCGCCCACCACGGCCCCGACCCCTCAGGGTCCCCCCGGGACCTGCCAGAGCCACCCCAGTGCCCCCCCCCAGGACCCAGGTCCGGGTGAGGGGCCGGGCTGGGGGTGTGGGACCCCCACCACCCGTGGGGACGGCCCCGAGCCCCTCTCCCTGTGCCCCTCAGCAGAGCAGCTGCCGGCAGAGCTGGGATCAGGCTCGGAGAGGTGAGATCAGGATCCCTTCCCCGAGCTGGGGGTCTCTTCTTCCTGATTTGGGGGGTCCTCCCCCTGCCTGGGGAGGGGATTTGGGCCCCCCGTGCTGTCCCAGTGTGGGGCTGAGCGGTGCCAACCCCTGTCCCCGTGGCTGCAGCGAGGAGCCCGTCCCTGTCCCCGTCCCCAGCCCGGTGGGCACCAAGAGGCGCCGGGAGCTCGACAGTGAGGATGAGGACGGCGGGAGCTCAGGTGGGTTCAGCCCCTCTGCCCTCTCCTGTGGGGCTGAGGGGGCTCTGGGTGTCACCAGGAGCTGGGCACAGGGCACTGCTGGGTCGTGGTTGTCCCGTCCCCAGCCCCTTTGCCCCGTCCCTGGGGCTGGGGAGGCGGTGGAGGGACAGGGGTGTAACCCCCACTCCCCTCACCCCCTGGCTGGGGGCTCAGCCCCCTCCCCTCTTCCTCCACCCACAGGTCCCGGGCTGGCCCCTGCAGCCCCCTGCTCCGAGGAGGATGAGGAGGACGAGGACCCCCAGCCCCGGGGGAGGCGGAAGCGCCTCCGCTGCCTGGAGGAGGACGAGGAGGAGGAGGAGGGTTGAGGGGCTTCCCTTGTCTGCCAGGCCCAGGCCCTGGGCTGTTTTCTGGGGTTTCTGCAGGTTTTGATCCTGTTTTTAAGGGCTGCACGAGCAGCCAGTTGCTGCCCCCCCCATCCCCTTCCCCTGGTGTCTTCATTTCCCTGTTTTGCCCCAAACTCCCATTTTTCTCAGCTCTTTGGGTTTGTTTTCCTTTTAAACCTTTTAAATCCGGACAGGGCCCAAATAAACGTGACTCTTGCCCTTCCTTGGTGTGTGGGGCTGGAGGGAGCTGGAGCTGGGGGGGGTCAAGCTGCTCTGGCCGCAGGGGTCGAGCCGCTCTGGCCACAGGGAGTGTCCCGTCCCCGGTCCCTGTCCCCGCACCCCGCGTGTCGCAACCCCCTGATAACAGTGGCTATAAAGGGGCCGCGGGGGCTGCGCGGGGCAAAGGACGGTGGCACCTGGCCAGGGCAAGGACCAGTGACAGCGGTGAGCTGGGGACACTGGGGGGGTCACGGGGGGCTGCGGCCGCGGGGGGCTGACGGGGCTCTGCCCTTCTCCCGCCTCCGCAGCCATTCCCGGAGCTGCCGCCATGCCCAGGGTCCTGCTCTTCCTCCCACTCCTCCTCCTCGGCCCCGCTGTGGCTCTCTCTGACGTGGATGCCAGTGACCGGGCGCTGCTGCGGGCGCTGCTGGCGGAGCTGGCGGGTCCCATCCCGCCGCAGGCACGGGGGGTCCCGTGCCACGACCTGGGCCCCAACGCCCTGCCCGGCTTTGCCCGGCTGCCCCCCGAGCCCCACGCCCTGGCCCGCGCCGCGCTGGCGCTGGCGCTGAACGGGGCCGGCTGCGGGGCCCAGGCCGAGGCCGAGGCGCTGGGGCTGGCGCGGGAGCTGGGCACCCCCACGGCCGCGGCGCTGCTGCGGGGGCTGGCGGGGCTGCGGGGAGCCCCGGCCCCCCAGCCCCTGTCCCTGCTCCTCCTCAGCCTGGCGCGCCCGGGGGGCTCAGCCTGCGTGGATCCCACCCCGCTCCGGACCCCCGGCGCCCGGCCCACGGCACCCTGGGCGGGGAGGGTCGCGGGGGCCCGGCTGCCCCCGTGCCAGCGGCTCTCCCGGCGCCGGAGGCAGGATGAGGGCGAAGCCGAGGATGCCTGCAACCCGCCGGGGGAGCGGGAAGCCCACCGGGTGCTGGAGTGGGTGCCGGGCGTCAGCATCTTCTACAACCTGGGCACCAGCATCTACTTCGCCTTCCAGGGCTGCGGGGCCGCCGCCTCGGCGCGGGCGCTGGAGGCCACCGAGGACCTGGGCTACGCCGGGCTGGCCGCGCTCACCGGGAGCCTGGGCGGCCCCGTGGCCGTGGGGGTGCAGATGGGGCTGCAGCCGGGGCTCAAGGCCGGGGTTCGGGCGCTCATCGGGTACTTCACCTCCGCCGGGGACCCCCCGCCCGTGCCCACGGCCCACAGCGGCTCCGCCATCATCGTCTGAATAAAGGCCACGTGCGGCAGCTGGCGGCGTGTCCCCGTCCCTGTCCCTGCGGGATCGATGCGGGGTCACCCTGCGCTGGGGCACAGGGACCTTGGTTCATGGGGTGGCCTTGCTGAGCCACGTGGTGGCAGCTGCTCTGTCCCTGTCCCAGTCCCTGTCCCTGTCCTGCCCAGCGCTCCAGGCCCTGCGGCTCTGTCCCCATGGCCTGTCCCTGTCCCCATTCCCTGTCCCCATGGCCTGTCCCCGTCCCCACAGTTCTCTCCCCATGCCCTGTCCCACAGTTCTGTCCCCATGGCCTGTCCCTGTCCCCATTCCCTGTCCCTGTCCCACAGTTCTGTCCCCATTCCCCGTCCCCGCTCCCGTTTCCATCCCCCGACCGTTCCCCGCTGGCCACGCCCCCTCTGACCACGCCCACCCCGTGACGTCAATTCGGGGAAATGGGCAACCCTGGGAGTCTCCGCTAGAGGGGGCGTGGCCTCTGTGTCGCGCTCCACCAATCACAGTGCAGGTCGGGGGAAGGGGCGTGGTCTTGCCGCCGCCCTCCGCCAATCACGGAGGAGTGGGCGTGGCCTCCGCGCCTTCCTGACCCGCCGGCGGCCGAGGTGGGTCCGGGATCGGGGGGGTCTCGGTGGGTCCGGGGGGGTCCCGGGGGTCCCGGGGAGGTCTCGAGCCGGTCTTGGCGTTCCCGGGGTGTCGTGGGGGACGGAGGGTCCCGGTGGGTCCTGGGTGAGAGGGAGTCCCGGGGGACAGGGGCGGCTCCGAAGGGTCCCGGGGGACGGGGGCTCCCGGGGGAGGGGGGCACAGACAGGGGGTCCCGGCGGGGGCACACAGGGATCACTGTCGGGTGGCCCCTTGGGAGTGTCCCCCTGGGGGTGTCCCCCTGGGGCGAGGGGTGTTTAGGGGCACCCACTCCCGGGATCCCTGGGGGTGCAATGGGGGACCAGGCCAGGGGGACCTTGGGAGGAGCCCGGGGGGCTGCACAGGGGGTGCAGGGGGCCCTCGGGGTGGGGTCGGGGTGGGGTGTGTGCCCCCCGCCCCAAGCGGGAAACCCACCGTGGCTCAACCCTTGCCCGGAGCAGAAGGACCCCCGGGATCACCCGGGGCCGAGTTGGAGCTGAGGGACCCCCGGGACCCCCGTCTGCAGGTACGTGGGGTGCGGCTGTGCCAGGCGGGGGCACGTGGGCACCGGTCCCACATCCTCCGGTCGTGCGATGGCCGGGGGGGTCCTCGGGGCCCCCCGTGACCCCCCCTGTGCCCCCCCAGCATGGCGCAGTGGCAGGAGGTGCAGGGCTTGGCCAACACGTACCTGGAGCAGGTGCACCAGCTCTACGCGGGCTCGGAGCTGCCCATGGCCGTGCGCCAGTGCTTGGCCGCCTGGATCGAGGACCAGAACTGGTAACGGGGGGCTGCACCGGGCCGGGGGGGCTGCACCGGGGGGGGGGGCACCGGCAGTGCCAGCGCTGAGCCCCCCGTGCCCGCAGGCGCCAGGCGGCCGAGCCGTTCTCCTCCCACGCCCGGATGCTCTTCCACTCCTTGCTGGCACACCTTTCGGACCGAATGGGCAGCCTGGGCACGAGCCACGAGGATTTCATGCTCAAGCACAACCTGCGCAAGGCCCACCGGGACCTCCAGGTGGGTGTCGGGGCCGGGGGTGGGGGGGGCTGAGGGAGAGGGGCCGGGGGGGGCCCTCTGTGCCCCGCTGACCCCCCCCGTGCCCCTCCACAGGCCAAGTTCGAGGAGGATCCGGAGAAATTCGCCAACCTGGTGGCCAACCTGCTGCAGGAGGAGCAGCGGATCCTGCGCCTGGGGCTGGCGGGGGGGCAGGTAGGGCAGGGGGGTGTCTCCCCCCTCACTCCGTGGGGTCCCGGGGCCACTGCCTGACCTCCCCGTGTCTCTGTAGGGTGGGGGTGTCCCCCCCTCACCCCGTGGGGTCCCGGGGCCGCTCCCTGACCCCCCGTGTCTCCTCAGGGGGGATCGTCCCCGGCGCCCACCGCGCCCCCGGAGCGGGGCCGGGAGCAGCAGATCCAGTGGCGCTTGGCCGAGTTCCACACGGCCCTGCAGGTAACAGACCCCCCCCCCGGACCCCCGGGCCCCCCCGGGGGCCGCCCCCCCCCCCCCCGAGCCCCCCCCGAGCCCTCCCACCCGCCCACAGGTCAGGAGAGGAGCAGGGACCCCCAGTACGCCCGGCAGCTCCAAGCCCTCCAGGCCAAGCTGCAGAACCTGGACCAGCAGCGGCGGGTGAGGGGGGGGCAGGGCTGGGCTTATGGGGGGGCCACGGCCGCCCCTCACCCCCTGCTCAGACCCACGTCCGTCCCCCAGGAGGTGCTGGCTCAGATGCAGCAGCTCTTGGGGCGCAGCGAGACCCTGCGGGAGCTGCTGCAGCAGGAGTTGGGGGACTGGCGGGAGCGGCAGCAGCGCTCGTGCCTGGGGGCCCCCGCGGACACCAACCTGCGCCCGCTGGAGACCTGGTAGGGCCGGGGCAAGAGGGGAGCACGGGGGGGCACAGCCGGCCCCCGCTGAGCCCCAGGGCACCCGCAGGTTCACGGGGCTGGGCCAGGGGCTGTTCCAGCTGCGGCAGCTGCTCCGGGCGCTCAGCGACCTGCGGCAGAAGGTGACCTACGAGAGGGACCCGCTGGTGGCAGAGACCCCCCTCCTGGAGCAGCGGCTGCAGGAGCAGCTCACGCACCTGCTGAAGAGGTGGGAGAGGGGATGTGAGTGGCTGGAGCTGTGTCAGGGTTGGATATTGGGAACTGGTTGTTCCCCCAGAGGGTGGTCGGGCGCTGAACGGGCTCCCCAGGGCAGCGGTCGCGGCACCGAGGCTGCCAGAGCTTGGGGAGCGTTTGGACAACTCCCTCAGCGCACGGTGGGATTTTGGGGATGTCCTGTGCGGGGCCAGGAGCTGGACTTTGACCCTTGTGGGCTGTCGCCAGCTCAGGGTATTCCACGGTTCTGAGAGGTGGGGGCAGCGCAGGGGGGGCCGGGACGGTACTGGGGCTGCCCTGACCCCCCCTCTCTGCCCCAGCGCCTTCGTGGTGGAGCAGCAGCCCAGCACCCCCAACCCCTTCAAGCGCCCGCTCGTGCTCCGCACCGGCAGCAAGTTCTCGGCCCGCGCCCGTCTGCTCGTGAGGCTGCACGACCGCAACCACCGCATGGGCTGCGCCATCCACATCGACAGGTCGGGACCCCCCGAGCCCCCTGCCCCCCCCCTCTCCCTCCAGGGCCCCCCCCAAGCCCCCGCCCGCCCCCGGGGGTCCCACTGCCCCACTGACACCCCGCTGCCCCGCTGACACCCTGCTCCCCAACTGACACCCCCCTGTCCTGCTGACACCCTGCTCCCCAACTGACACCCCGCTCTCTCTTGCAGGGACCCCCCCAAGCTCAAAGGGTGAGAGCCGGGCGAGTGCCGGAGGTGGCGGATGGGGCTGTGCTCCCCCCCTGCCCGGGGGTCCGGGACCCCCCACCCGCCGCCTCTTCTGTGCCCCGCAGGTTTCGCAAGTTCAACATCCTGACGTCGAGCAGCAAAACGCTCCTGGCCGGGGACAGTCCCCAGGAGGGGCTGGTCTGCGACTTCCAGTACCTCGTAGGGTTTTACCCCCCCCCCAGACCCCCAGGTCCCCCAGGGGCGGAGAGTGGGGCGAGGACCCCCTGCCTAGCCCTGGCCCCCGCCCCGGGCTGACTCTGTGCTGCCCCACAGACGCTGAAGGAGCAGAAGGACAGCAGGTCTGGCAAGGGCAGCAAAGGCGCCGGCGAGGTGGGTTTGGGGCTGGGGGCTGTGGGGACAGGTGGGTGTGGGGCTGGGGGCTGTGGGGGCGCAGGGGGGGGCCGGGGCCACGTGGAGACCACGGTGCCACCTCCTTACAGAGTCCCCTGGTCGTGACAGAGGAGCTGCACCTCATCACCTTCACGCTGGCCTACGCCTACTGCGGGCTGGAGCTGGAGCTGAAGGTGAGGGCTGGGGAGCTTGGTGGGCCTAGGGGGGTGCTGGGGGGCTTGGGAGAGGCTGGGGAGGCTGGGGGGCTTGGGGGAGGCTGGGGGGACTGGAGGTTGCCAGCCTGACCCCCCACGCCCCCCGCAGACCTCCACGCTGCCCTTCGTCATCATCTCCAACAACAACCAGTTCTCCAGCGCCTGGGCCTCCATCCTCTGGTTCAACATGCTCAGCTCCGACCCCAAGGCGAGCAGGACCCCCCAGCCCTGCACTGCTCCCCCCCAGTGCTCCCACCCCTGCCACCTCCTGTCCCAGTCCTTGTCCCGTCCCCATCCCTGCTCCTCACTAATCTCCATCCTGTGCCCTCTCCCTGGTCCCTGTCCCACCCCCATCCCCTGATCACTGTCCTGTACCTGTCCCTTGGTCCCTGTCCCAGCTCCTGGACACCCTCCCTTGCCCCAGTGCACATCCCCATCCCCTGCCACACATCCCCATCCCCTGGCCCCTCTCCCATCCCCGTTCCTGCCGCGTGTCCCTGTCCCCGCTCACCCCCTGTCCCGCAGGACCAAAATATTTTCTCGGCACCGCCCCCGGCCCCGTGGCCCCGTCTGGCCGAGGTGCTGAGCTGGCAGTTTGAGAGCGTGGCAGAGAGGGGGCTGAGCCGGGACCACCTCCTCATGCTGGCCGAGAAGCTCTTTGGTAAGGCCCCGACCCCCGGGGGGGGACACGGCGGGGAGGGGGCTGTGCCGTCCCCCTGCTCACCCTGCTCTCCCCTCCAAGGCTCGAAGCCATCACCAGAGAGCACCGTGGCCTGGCCCAAGTTCTCCAAGGTGAGCAGAGCCCGTCGCCCCTGTCGCCATCCCCCCATGACCCTGCCCTCTCATCCCCCCCGTCCTCCCGTGGCCCCCAACCCCCCCAGCCCCTCTCACCCACCCTCTACTTCAGGACGGCGCCGGCTTCTCCTTCTGGGCTTGGCTGGACGGGATCCTGGGGCTGCTCCAGGAGCACCTCAAGCCGCTCTGGAAGGACGGGTAGGAGCGGGGCTGGGGGCTGGGGGGGGCCCCGGGGGCTGCGGGGGCTGACGGTGCCTCCCCCAGACTCATCCTGGGCTTCGTGAGCCGGAAACAAGAGAGGAAACTGCTCAAGTCGAAGAGGACGGGGACGTTCCTGATCCGGTTCAGCGAGAGCGTCCTGGGGGGGGTCACCTTCACCTGGGTGGAGCATCCCGAGAGCGGTGAGTGCACCCCCCCAGCCCCGGGGTCCGGCCCCTCAGCCCCCCCCGGGCACTGACCCCCGGGGGGGCCCTGCAGGACCCCCCACTTTCGACTCGGTGGATCCGTACACGGGGGCCGAGCTGGCGTCCCTGGCGCTGCCCGACATCATCCGTGGGTACCACATCATGATGGAGGAGAACGTTCCGGAGAACCCCCTGCAGTTCCTGTACCCCGACACCCCCCGAGACAAGGCCTTCGGGCCCTACTACAGCCGGCAGCAGGAGGGTACGGCCCGGCCTGGCACGGCACAGGGCAGGGGGAGCTCCTGCCACCCCCTCTGACCCTCCTCTCTCCCCCCAGGGAACCTGACAGAGCCGGAGAAGTACCTGAGGCGGCGCCTCATCCGTGTGTCCTCCAGGTGAGGCAGCGGAGGGGCCTCAGTCCCCCTTCCCTGTCCCCCATCTCCCCGTGGTCCTGCACTTGGTGACTTGGACCCCGCAGGAAAGGGGATGCCCTGACTCTGCCCCTGCCCCTGACCCACTGTCTCTCCCTCTCCAGGCAGGCAAATAAGTCGTGGCAGACGGAAGAGGAGCTGGTGGTTGCCACCGAAAACCTGGAGACGCTGCAGCTGCAGCCCGGAGGAGGGCAGGGCACACAGTGGGAGGGTGGCCTGGCACTGCCACAGTCCCAGAGCCCAGGGGCACCACAGGTCAAGCCAGAGAACCTGGGGACGCCTCAGGGAGTGGCCGTGAGCCCAGGGAAGCTGCAGGTGGTGGCCACGAGCCCGGGGATGCTGCAGGCAGGGTCCCAACACCTGGAGCCACCGCAGCCACCACAGGTGGGATCAGAGGTCTCAGAGGTGGTGGTGCAGGTGGTCCCCGACATCCAGGACACGCTGCAAGCGGCACTAAGGGCTGTGGGGACCATACAGGTGCTGCCTGGGGGGGTGGGGATGCTGCAGGTGGGACCAGGGGACTTGGGGACGCTGCAGGTGCTGCCAGGGGACCAGGGGACGGTGGCTGTGGACACGGGGATGCTGCAACAAGTGGGAGCTGGGAACACGGAGATGCTGCAGCCCAGACCGGGGGCTGTGGAGCCACTGCAGGTCACTGAGGGCCAGGGGATGCTGCCACCAGAGCTGAGGGACCTGGAGCTGCTGCCCAGGAGCCAGGACATCCAGGAGCTGCTGCAGGCGCTGGAGCCGGGCTCAGGGGCGCTGGAGACGCTGGAGGCAGCAGAGCTGATGCCAAACATGGCAGAGAGCTTGGACGGGAGGCCCCAGCTGGCCCCTGGGCCGGCAGGTGAGTGCCGGGGTGAGGGAGGCACCCGGGGATCCCAGGGGGGTCTGGAGTTCCCAGGGATTCTCAGGGATGCACCTGGGGATCCCAGGGATGCACCTGGGGATCCCGGGGGTTCTGAGGGCTGTACCTGGGGGTCCCGGAGGTGTCCCCTCAGTGCTGACCCGTCCCCCCCTCCCCTCCCAGGTGCCTCCGTGCTCCTGGACCACCGTGACCCGTTCCTGCCGCAGCCCGAGGACTCGGCTCTGCCCGCTGTCAACTCCCTCTTCGCCTCCGCCGACTTCCCCCCGCTCCACATCGACCCCAGCGACTTCCAGTGACTCCCCCCTTGGCCCCTCCCCTGTAAATAAACCCCTTCCCACCCCTCCCCGCCCGTGCTGCCCGTTGCGCCGCAGGCGGGAGCCGCTCGTCTCCTCCAGAGCTTTATTAGAAACCCATAAATACCCGAGATAAATAGGGGACGCGGCACATAAATAACCCCTCGAGAGGGAGGCAATAAATAGGGGGGTGGGGGGCCCGGGGGGCTCAGCGGGCGCTGTGGGTGAACACGCGGCTCATGACGGCGGCGAAGGAGCGGAGCCGGTTCAGGGCCAGGTGCCGGAGCAGCCCGTGAGACCAGTTCGTGCTGGGGTCCAGGGGGTGCCGGGGGGGGTGGCCGTGCTCCTGCTGCGGGGACAGAGGTGTCAGGGGGCCCGGGGCCACAGCCGTGTCCCCCCGACGGGCTCCCTCGGGGCTCCCACCCTCCTGCTCACCTGCACGAGGCCCAGCAGCTGGTCCATCGTGGTCTCCAGCTGGGGCTGCGGCTGCTCCCGGAAGATGTCGGAGCCCAGCAGGTCCCGGTAGTGCTGGAGCGCCTGGAGGATCCGGTGCAGGCAGCGCTGCGGGGGCCAGGGGGGTGAGATGGGGGGCTGGGACCCTCCCGCACCCCCGGGCGCTCTTGGGGACCCCAGGTGCATCCCTCCGTATCCCTGGGATCCTCAAACATCCCCGGGACCTCCAGGTGCATCTCTCAGCATCCCTGGCACCCCCAGACATCCCCAGGACTCTTAGAGACATCCCTCAGCGTGCCTGAGACCCCCAGACATCCCTGGGACCCCCAGATACCTTCAGAATCCCTGGGACCCCCAGGCACATCCCTCAGCATCCCCGAGACCCTTGGTCACCCCTGGGAGCCCAAGGTGCATCCCTGAGAACCCCAGACATCCCTGGGGACCCCCAGGCACATCCCTCAGCATTACTGGGCCCCAGAGCCCTCCCTGGGCCCCCCGGCCCCCCTCAGCGTCCCCGCAGCCCCCCAGCCCCCGCAGCCCCCCCCCGTACCGTGTTGTTGGTGTCCAGCGTGGGGGGGTCACAGGCGTCGCTGCAGAGGATCCGGGGGGGCCAGTTCTGGGGGTCCTCCTGGCTCAGCTGCATCTCCTCCTGGAGCAGGGGGTCAGTGGGCTCTCCGTGTCCCCCGGGCCCCTCCCCGGCCCCCCGCACCCTCGGGACCCCCCTCCCACCCGGGTGCTCCGCACTTCCCGGTCCCCGCCGTCCCCCGGAACCCCCCGGTCCCCCCGGCCGAGCCCCCCGCGCTCACCAGCACCGGGTGCGGTTCTTTGACGGTCGCCAGCAGCCGCGACAGGTCCCGGGAGAGGCTCTTACAGGCGGCCCAGTCGGTGCGGGGGGCCGGGGCCGGGGTCGGGGCCGGAGCCGCGGGCGGCGGCAGCAGCAGCGGGAGGCAGAGACAGAGGCAGAGGCGGCGGAGCGGAGCCATTCCCAGTCGTTCCCGGTCGTTCCCGGTCGATGCCGCCACCGGCGCTGCCACCGGGTTCTTATGGGGCGGCGGCAGGTGGGGAATCCCCGGGGCAGGTGGCTCCCGCCCCCCGTTACTGCGAAATCGCCTCCCTCGAAAGCAGAACCGATACCGGGCCGGGGTCCCCTGGCCGCGCCCGGCCCCGCTCCCCACCGGGACAGGACGGGATGGGACGGGACGGGCAGGAAAACCCGGGGCAGTTCCTGGCGGCTCCGCGCCCAGCGGGCATGGGAGGGACCCGCACCGGCACCGGGACCTCCCCTGGCTGCACCTGGGCTGCCCCCGACGGGCGCACCGGGGAGCCCGCGGCGGTGTCACCTCGGTGGATCCCCCGTTGTGTCCCCCCCGTGTCCCCTCCGGTGTTCCTCGTGTGTCCCCGCGGTCTCCTCGGTGTCCCTCCCGGTGTCCCTCCCCGTGTCCCCCCGGGACATCAGCCGGCGGCTCCCCGCGGCCTCGGGGGTCCCGGGGGGCTCGCCCCGCGGTCGCGCCCCCGGGACCCCGCAGCCCCGGTGCCCTTCGGGCCGGGCCGTGCTGCCCGCGGCGCCGCAATCCCGGCGGCCCCGACGGGGCGGCTCCGGCGCTTCCCGCTCCCGCCCGGCGGGGCTGCCCCCGGCCTTCCCCGGGCACGGACACCGGCGGCGGGTCTGCCGTGGGTCTGGGAGGGGAGACGCGGGGGAGATCGGCGCCGGTGGGGCTCAGCACCGCCGTGCGCTGTCCCGGGGACCCTGCGGGACTCCGTGGGACACCAGTGGATGCTGTGGGATGCCAAGAGACTGAGTGGGACACTGTGGGGCGTTTAGGGACGCTTTGGGATCCTGTGAGGTGCCACGGGACGCGGTGGGACCCCTGGGATGCTGTAGAACCCCGTGGGACACTGTGGGACTCCGTATAACAGTGGGACGCAGTGGGATGCTGGGGACAGCGTGGGACACCGTGGGGAATTTAGGGACACTTTTAGGATCCCGTGGGATGCTTTGGGATGCCACGGGCTGCTCCAGTGACACCCGTGGACACGGTGGGATGCCAGGGGCGTGCGGGGGACACTGTGGGGTACTCGGGGACACTTTGGGATCCCGCGGGGTGCCAGGGCACGCGGTGGGATCCCGTGGGGCACCGTGGGGTGTCCGGGGAGTCAGAGAACAAGGTGAGACCCTGTGGGGTACAGTGGGGTGTCTGGGGACGCTGCGTGACATCCGTGGGAGCCCACGGCCCGCCGCGGGTGCCACACCGACCGGCAGCGCCCGGGGGTCCGCGAAGCATCCGGGAGCTGGGGGGTCCCCCCGGGGCTCCCCCGCCCCGCCCCGGCCGCGTCCAGCCTTTATGGCCCCTCCGCCGCCCCGTCCCGCCGCGCCGCTTAGTCCCGCCCTGCCCGGGCGCTGATTGGCCCGTGCGCGGCGCCCCGCGCTGCCATTGGCCGGCTGGCGGGCGGGGGGCGCGGTTGCCGTAGCGACGCGGGAGCGGCCCCGGCCCGGCCCGGCCCCGGCGGGACGAGCCCGGTAGCGCGGCCCCGGCCCCGGCGGCGGCTCGGTAACGGCGGGCGCGGGGGGGGGGGGGGGGGGCGGCCGCCCCGAGCTCGGAGAGAGCGGCCGCTAGGGCCGGGTCCGGTGGGGCCGGGACCCTGGTGCCCCGCCCAGGGCTGCTGCCGCCGATACCGCCGGCGCGCTCGGTGTCGGCTCGCGGAGATAAGGGCGGAGGGTGCGGAGCTTAGCCCGGAGTCACCGGGGGTGGGGCGAGGCGGAGCCTCGAGCTCCAGGAGCTGCCGGTACCGGGCGGGGCTCGGCTTCCCGGGCAGCCTGGGACTATTGCCCCGTGCCCCGAGGAGGCTGCCCGGTACCCCAGCGCTGCTTCCCGTCTGCCCAGGCAGTTCCTTGTGCTCTGGGGTCGCTGTCCGGTACCCCGGGGAGGCTGCCCGGTATCCTGGGCCCCCTTCCCGGTTCCTCGGGCAGCTACCCGGTGTCCTGGGGCCACTGCCTGGTTCCCCCTGGCCCAGGGGCCACCACAGGCTCCTCACGGCCGTGACAGGGCTCTGAGCGTGTCCTGGGAGGGACTTTACAGCCCCGGTGTCCTCGGTGTCCTGGCAGAGCCCTGCACCCCACGCTCACTGGACATTCCGGTTGCCATTCCCATCCCCGGAGTCACCGGTTCCAAGAACCGGCGGCTCTGGGTGTTCCTGACCAACCACCTCCAGTTCCTTTTCTGTCCCAGAGGCCCCCGGGGTTCACCATGAATTTCGAAGGGCTCAACCCCTCCCTGGCCGAGTATGCACCGCCCCTGCACCCGGCGCTGGACCCCGTCCTGGACCCCCACCTCAACCCCAGCCTGGTGGAGCTGGACCCCGAGGGGGTGTCCCTGGAGGGCATCCCGGTGCCGGAGTCAGTGCACCTGATGGAGGGCATGTACAGCGAGCTCCACACGGCCGTGTCCGAGGTCGGGGTGCCCGTCTCCGTGTCCCACTTCGACCTGCACGAGGAGATGCTGTGGATTGGGAACCACGGGGTAGGTGGGGAGGTCACTGCGGGGAAACCGGGGGGGGGCAGGGAATTTGATGGAATCGTGGGATGGTTTGGGTTGGGAGGGAGCATAAAGATCGTCCAGTTCCATCCCCCTGCCATGGGCAGGGACACCTCATACTAGCCCAGGCTGCTTCAACCTGGCCTTGGACACTTCCAGGGATGGGGCAGCCACAGCTTCTCTGGGAAATCCATTCCAGCCCCTCCCCACCCTCACAGGGAGGAATTTCATCCCAAAATCCCATCTAAACCTTCTTCTTTAGTTTAAAACCCTTCCCCCTTTATCTGCCCATGTCGATTCTCGGAGCACGGGCCTCCTGCTGCTTCCCAAGTCACGGCTGTGGGACCGATGGATCTTTTGATTCCTTGCTGGTGTTTGCATCCAGGGAAAAGTCTGACCAGCCTCCCACAGTCTGGAGCACCCGGGGGGGGCCAGGAGATCCCCCCGTAGTCCGGCCGAGCTCTGAGGCCGCCGGTCGCTGCCTCCTCCTGGGAGCTGGTGCGGGACAAAGCCACCTTCACCTGTGTCACATCCCTGGGACGTGGGGTGGGTTGTGATGTCCCTGCCCCTCTGTGTTTAGGGCCACGCCACCTCCTTCTTCGGGCCGACGCTGGAGCGATACTCGTCCTTCCAAGTGAACAGCAGCGACGACATCCGCCAGATCCAGAGCCTGGAGAACGGCGTCCTCTTCCTCACCAAAACCAACCTCAAGTACATGTCGCGGGGAGGCCTCATCATTTTTGACTACCTGTGAGTCCTCCCCGTGCTGGGGGTGGTCCTGGCCCCTCTGCCTCCCCACCACCCCTTCCCTGCTGCCTCCTGCAGCCAGGCAGGAGCGTGAGGGCGTCCCATCCTCTCCCGCAGCATGGATGAGTCCGAGGACATGCACAGCCTCCTGCTGACGGACAGCAGCACCCTGCTCGTGGCCGGGCTGCAGAACCACGTCCTCGAGATCGACCTCAACACCGTCCAGGAGACGCAGAAGGTACGGCTGGGCCGGGGGCTGCTCCCTGGAGCAGCTCCAAGGGTTCATCCCTGCTCATCCCTGCTCATCCCTGCTCATCCCGCTTCCCTCCCAGTACACCGTGGAGGTCCCCGGCATCACCATCATGAGGCAGTCGAACCGTTTCTTCTTCTGCGGGCACACCTCGGGAAAGGTAATGCCAACCTCTGCGGGCACACCTCAGGAAAGGTAACGCCAGCCCCGCCTGACCTGCCGAGGTGCCCTGGGGTCGGGGTCCCTCTCTGGCACCCGTCCCCGTCCCCCCGCAGGTGTCCCTGCGCGACCTGCGCACCTTCGTGGTGGAGCACGAGTTCGACGCCTACTCCGGGAGCTTGTCCGACTTCGACGTCCACGGGAACCTGCTGGTGACCTGCGGCTTCTCCAGCCGGATGAACGGGCTGGCCTGCGACCGCTTCCTCAAGGTCTACGACCTGCGCATGATGCGGGCGACCACCCCCCTGCAGGTCCACATCGACCCCTTCTTCCTGCGCTTCATCCCCACCTACACGTCCCGCCTGGCCATCATCTCCCAGACGGGTGTGTGAAGCTGCGGCCCTGGGGGTAGGGGGGTGGTGGTCCCGGCGTCCCCAAGCTCGGGGTCAAATCCCAGGGGATTCAGCCCGGAGCAGGGGAGACTGAGGGGAGGCCTCGTTGCTATGTACAACTTCCTCAGGAGGGGCAGCGCTGATCTCTGCTCTCTGTGAGCAGCGATGGGAGCTGAGGGAGCTGCTGGAGCTGGGTCAGGGCAGGGTCAGGTTGGATCTCAGGAAAAGGTTCTTCCCCCAGAGGGTGGTTGGGCACTGACCAGGCTCCCCAGGGCAGTGGGCACAGCCCCAAGGCTGCCAGAGCTCCAGGAGCATTTGGACAATGCTCTCAGCACGTGGTGGGATTGTTGGGCTGTCCTGTGCAGGGCCAGGAGTTGGGCTGGAGGATCCTTGTGGGTCCCTTCCAACTCAGGATATTCCATAATTTTAGAGATCAGGGAGTGTTTGGACAACGCTCTCAGGTGTTTGGATTTGGGGACTGTGAGGACTTCTGGGGTTTTCCTGTGCAGAGCCAGGAGCTGAACTTTGATCTTTGTGGGTCCCTTCCGTGGATGTCCCATGGATATTCCATGATCCAAGGGTGGCCGGCCGAGCACTGCTGACCCGTGTCCAGTGGCGAGGGACACGTGGGTCACCACGTCCCGGGTCACCGCGTCCCGGTGCCACGTTGTCCTTGCACTTGCTCTCCCCCAGGCCAGTGCCAGTTCTGCGAGCCCACCGGGCTGGCCAACCCCGCCGACATCTTCCACGTGAACACGGTGGGGCCCCTCATCATGACCTTCGACGTGTCCGCCAGCAAACAGGCGCTGGCCTTCGGCGACTCCGAGGGCTGCGTCCACCTCTGGGCCGACTCCCCCGAGGTCACCTTCAACGCCTACTCCCGGGAGACCGACTTCGCCCTGCCCTGCATGGTGGACACGCTGCCACACCTGGACTGGAACCAGGACCTGGTGCCGCTCTCGCTCATCCCGGTGCCGCTGACCAGCGACGCGCTGCTCTCCGACTGGCCCGCCGCCAACTCCGCCCCGGCACCACGGTGATTCCCGGCCCCTCCCGGGAAAAAACCACCTCTCCTTCCTCCTCACCTGCCCCGGGAAGCGCCGGATGAGTTCCTGGCAGCGGACGGGAACGGCCGAGGGGCAGCGGCCGGACGGGTGTGGGGACGGTAGGGGACGGTCAGACCTCGGCCTTGCTGATGAGGAGATCCCAGTGGGATCCCAGCTCCCTTGCTGATGAGGAGATCCCAGTGGGATCCCAGCTCCCTTCTGCCCGTGTGGAAACTCTTGTTTTCCCTCTGCCTGTCCCTGACCCGCCTGTGCTCAGCGCTGCCACCCTGCCCTGGCACAACCCGGGGGGTGTGTGGGGTGGGAAAATGAACCTGGGGAAGGACTGAGGAGGGGGAGCTCTCGGGACCACCCTTAGGGTGGGTCCCTGAGCACACCCAGGAGGCCTCTGGGTGGGTAAGAGGTGCTGCCCTGACTCGGGGGGTGTTGTTTGCAGGCGAGCCCCCCCAGTAGATCCCGAGATTTTGCGAACCATGAAGAAAGTGGGATTCATTGGCTACGCCCCCAACCCCAGGACCAAGCTCCGCAACCAGGTGCCCGCTCTCAGCGGGGGATTTGGAGGGTGTGGGGTGGTGTTTCCAGCGCTGGAGCTCTGCAGGTTGGAGGGGGGCAGAGTTTGCTGCGTGCTGAGCGATCTCCGAGGTTTCAGGGACAGGGATGAGAGGCGGAATTCCCGTGGGATGTTGCAGGTGTATAGTCTGGAGGTGTCAGCTTCTCTGGAGCAGAGCCAGCCTGGCAGTTTTCCCAGTCCCATCCCTCCCTGGCTCTGGGGCAGGGAAGGCTTGAGCTGTCCGGTTGGGAGGTTCATGGCACGTCCCTCACCCTTGGGAAAACACTGCCCACGGTGCCTCTGTGGTTTCCCACAGTGACAAATCCCTGTGAGAAGGAAGGTGTGGAGGCCTCGTGCAGGTCCAGGGAGGGCCCCCCTCCGTTCTGGTGTATCCCTTTGCTCATTCAGGGAGGCAGGAAAGCCCAGGAGTTGCTTGTGTCAGTACGTGAGGCTTCTCTCCACCTCAGGGTTCAGCTGCTCATCCCTTCTCTCCCCGCCTCAGATTCCTTATCGGTTGAAGGAGATGGACAACGAGTTTGACAACTTCAGCCAAGTGCCCGAGTCCCCGATCGGGCGGGAGGAGGAGCCACACCTCTACAGGGTGGCCAAGAAGTACAGGAAGGTGGTGGCCTCGGGGGGCTGCTCTGGGGCTGGCTGGGGGTCCCGAGGCTGGGCTGGCCATGGGCAGGGACACCCCTGGGTGCACCAGCTGTGCCATGGGGGTCCCACGGTGTGGGAAGGTGCTTGTTTAACACTTCATGTCTCTGCTCAGGTCACAATCAAATACTCCAAGCTGGGGCTGGAGGACTTTGACTTCAAGCATTACAACAAGACGCTGTTTGCAGGGCTGGAGCCCCACATTCCCAATGCCTACTGCAACTGTATGATCCAGGTGGGAGCCCCCCCGGCCCCGCCCGGACCCCCACGGCCCCGGGACCCCCCTGACTGCTCAGTCTCTGCCAGGTGCTGTATTTCCTGGAGCCTGTCCGCTGCCTGGTCCAGAACCACCTGTGCCAGAAGGAATTCTGCCTGGGCTGTGAGCTGGGCTTGCTCTTCCACATGCTGGACCTGTCCCGAGGGGATCCCTGCCAGGTCTGCCGTGGGCTGGGCTGCCCGGGAGGGTCACGGGGATTTGCAGGGGAACGGGAGCCGGGCGGTGCCGGTGTCAGGCAGGGTGGAAACTCCTGTCACTTGACGCTCTTGCCCCATCCCCAGGGAAGCAACTTCCTGCGGGCTTTCCGCACGATCCCGGAGGCCTCGGCGCTGGGGCTCATCCTGGCTGACTCGGACGAGGCCACGGGGAAGGTGAACCTGGGGCGGCTCATTCAGAGCTGGAACCGTTTCATCCTCACTCAGCTGCACCAGGAAACCCAGGAGCAGGAGGGGCCGCAGGCGTACCGGGGCGCTGGCACCGGGTGAGGCCCTGGCACGGGGACAGCACGGGGAGTGACGGAGCCCAGGAGGGGGGAACTGGCTCCCAGAGACCACACCCATCCCTTGGGAAGGTTTCTTGCCACTCGTGCCTGCCCTGAGGGGTCCATGGGAATGCCCCAAGTGGTCCATGGGAATACAGGCTACGCTATGGCAGCGTGTGAATCCCATACTGAGCCTTTATCCCAAGCCAAACCTGGTTGGAGGGTTGAGGCTCCACAGAGGACACCAGCTTGAGCTTCCAGAGGGGCTTGGAGGGGCTGGGACTGCTCAGAGGACACCAGCTCTGGAAACCCAATGGCCGGTTCCCCAAGAGCTGCTGGAATCTGGGAGCTGGCCCCGTGCAGCCCGAGACGTGGGCCCCCACAGGGATCTCTGGGATCCTGCTGACCCCAGTGCTCTGTTTTCCCAGCAGCTTTGGGTCCTCAGGGGACTCTGTCATCGGGCAGCTCTTCAGCTGTGAGATGGAGAACTGCAGCATGTGCCGCTGCGGGAAGGAGACGGTCCGGGTGTCCTCCACGCTGCTCTTCACCCTCTCCTACCCCGAGAGCACCGGTGAGGGCAGGGCCGGGCCCTGGGCACAGGGTGGCCTTTGCTATCCCTGACTTTTCCAGGTGAAACACACCTGTGGTGAGGAGCTGCCAGGCTGTGGCAGCCCCAGGTCTAGGGTTGGGTTTCCGACCAGCCGAGCTTTTGGCTACAGAAAGACAGATTTGGGGGTTGACCTTCTGGCTGGTGGTTGTGAGGAAAACCCCAGAGGTTTGGCTGAGCTAAGCCGGTGAAGGTTTTTGTGTGTTGGGAGGTGACGTTATGATCCTTTCTCCCTTCAGAAAAACCAGTCAAGGATTACGAGTTCGCCCAAATTTTAAAGCGAAGCATCTGCTTGGAGCAGAACACACAGGCCTGGTGTGAGAACTGCGAGAAGTACCAGCCCACGGTGAGCCCAGGAGGGGGCACGGGCACGAGGGGCTGCAGGAGATGGGCACGAGGGGGGCAGTTTGTCCATTAGTCACCGGGGAACCTCCTGAGTGGATGCCGGAGATTCGGTTCCTGGCCCGGCTGGCAGCCCGTGTGCCGGGGGGTATTTCCTGGGCTGTGTGAATTCATCTCACAGGACTGAGTCCTCCCGGGGTAGGGGGCAGAGAGAAACCCCCTGGGAGCTGATGGAGCAGGCTGCTCCCTGCCTCAGTTGTCCTGGGAGTACCCCCAGCTACCGGGAATGCAGCCGGGGAGGGGAGGGCTGAGAGTTCCAAACCCAACCTGAGCCTCTCCAGGCTCCCAGGGCTGCCCCACTTCCACCTCCTGCTCCCTCCACAGGTGCAGACCCGGAACATCCGCTGCCTGCCCGACGTCCTGGTCATTAACTGTGAGGTGAACAGCTCCAAGGAGGCAGATTTCTGGAAGACACAGGCTGAGGTGGGGGAGGCACTTGGGGGCTCAGGGGGGTTGCGGTGCCCGGCCCTGCAGAGGTTTTCACTCTGCTCTCGCTGTCTCTGGCCTCTCTTGCTCCACCTGAGCTGTGTTCCCAGAGGATGTGGCACTGTTTGGTCATGCCTGGGGCATGATCCGTGCGTTTGGAGTTGGAAAAGACGAGATCTCCTGTGGTGACAGAGCTGGTGTGACTCAGGAGTCACTGCCATTCCCCCCATCCCTGCCAGCTCCCTGGAGCAAGTGGGACATTGGGTTTCCCTCACTGTCCCTTTCCCTGTCACTGACTTTACCATCCCTGTCTCTTCCCTGCTCCTGGCCTGGCTGTCACCCCCGTGTCCCCAGGGCTGGCCTGTCACCACGTGCTGACACTTGCCCGTGTTTCGTTGCCAGTATTCCTTTCAGAAAGCCATGATGAAGAGGGGAGGCTTTGACATCACCAAGGGAAAGGAGATCTCTCTTGGGGAGTGGTAGGTGACCGTTCAGGAGGAATTTCTGCATGGAAAGGGTTGTCAGGCACTGAAAGGGGCTGCCCAGGGAGGTGGTGGAGTCCCCATCCCTGTCCAAGGAAGGACTGGACGTGGCACTCAGTGCTCTGGGCTGGGTGATGAGGTGGGGATGGGGCACAGGTTGGACTCAATGGTCTTGGAGGTCTTTTCCAACCTCAAAGATTCTGTGATTCTGTTCCTGGGGTGGTGGCTCTGAGCAGTGACACCTCCTGAGTGGTTCTCTGGGCCATTTCTCATTTAATAATGAAAATTTGATAACCTGCCTGTCTGTAGCTCCTTGGGGGCTCTGAACTGGAACAGTCTCTGTTCTGCTCTGAGGCTGCACCACATCCCCTTCAGACACCTCTGTGACCCACCTGGTGATCCCTTTTTGAGCCCCCCATCCTCGTTCCCCTTTTCTGACTGACAAAAGCCCCAGACCCACGTTGGCCTTTGGTGGCTGACGTTGGCTGAGCTCCTCTGCCATGGTCCTGCTCCAGGCAGCTCCCCCAGGGGGTTTGGGAATAAGCTGGGGAGTGGGTGGGTGGGGATCCTGCCCTGAAGAAGTTGGCCAGGATGACATCTTATATCACCCTCTGCCTCAGCTTTCCATGATTGTGTGTGCAGGAAGGATCTGGGGAACCCCGACGTGGGGCACTCGTACGCTTCCGTGGAGGAACTGAAGAACATTTGGATCCCTCACGCCATCAAGATGAGGCTGACCAAGAGCAAAGAGCTTGACGTGAGCAACTGGAGCGAGACCGACGAGGTAAAGGCTGACGGGCTCATTGTGGGGCTCCGTGGTCGAGTTCTCTCGGGGCTGTGGCAGCAGAGCCGCCTCAGAGCCGCTTTCTGCCGAGCCCCTGTGGCCGAGAGGTGACGAGGAGCTCTCGGAGACACCTCGGGGGAGCGAGAAAACCTCGGGGCTGGCGGTGACAGCGCGTCCGAGTGCCGGGGTTTGGGTTGGAGGGGACTCAGCCACTTCCCCGGGCCGGTTCCTCCCGCAGCTGAGCCCAGCAGATGACCCCGAGTCCGTGTACATCTACGACCTCATGGCCACCGTCGTGCACATCCTGGATTCCCGCACGGGGGGCAGCCTGGTGGGGCACATCAAGGTGGGGGAGACCTACCACCAGCGGAAGGAGGTGAGACCCTGCGGGATTCCCACGACTGTGTCCCCTGGGGGCTCCCCAGAGCCCTCCCGAGGGGTCCTGCTGCCCAGGGCATCGTTAACAGCCCCGTTCAGGGGTCTCTTAGTCAAGTGCTGAGTGTTTGGCTGAACGTGCCAGGCAGCCCTGAACAGCACAGAGCTGCCCGGGCCCCTCATGGGGAGGGAAGGGCTGAAGAAACCCTCTTCCCACACACACTCGGGCTGGTTCCTCCTGGCCACGGGCACGGTGCCAGCTTTCCTTGTACTTCCAGGTAAGGGCAAGGACGTCATCTCCCTTCCCAAGGACAGGGCTGGTCTGGGCAGTCCTGTTGTCTGGTGGAGATGCCCAAGCCAGGAGTTCCCGGAGTGTGTCAAGGCTCCATCCCTGTCTCTTATCTCTTGCATCTCCCTGGAGTTTTGGTCGGGAGCTGGGCAGAGCCCAGAGCCCGTCCAGCCCCAACACTTCATGTACACTGTCACCACCCAGGGCAGCAGGGATTTCCCCACGGTGTCCCAGGAAGGGCGGGGGTTCCCACATGGCACCGTCACACCCCTCTTTCCCTGGTAACTGGGCAGAGGAGTCATTGCCCTGGGCTGGGGGGGCCCTCACGGCCGTGCCCGTGCCTCTCCCCACAGGGAGTCACACACCAGCAGTGGTACCTCTTCAACGACTTCCTCATCGAGCCCGTGGACAAGGTGAGTTCTGAGGCGACGCCGCACCTTTGGGGACCCCGTGGAGGCCCCGGGGCTGCCCCGCACTGTCCCCTCCCTGCAGTGCGAGGCCGTGCAGTTCGACATGAGCTGGAAGGTTCCGGCCATCCTCTACTACGCCCGGAGGAACCTCAACGCCAAGTACAACCTCGTCAGTGAGTGGCTGCGGCGGGGGCGGCCGCGGGGCCGGCGCCGCCGGCTCCCCGCTGAGCTCCTTCCCCTTTCCCTGCAGTCAAGAACCCCATCGAGGCCAGCGTGCTGCTGGCAGAGGCCTCGCTGGCTCGCAAGCAGCGCAAGTGCCACGCCACCTTCATCCCCCTCATGCTGAGCGAGATGCCGCAGGCCGGAGACCTGGTGGGGCTGGACGCCGAGTTCGTCACGCTCAACGAGGTCGGGGGTCCCCGGGAGGGGCCGGGGCACGAGGGCAGCCCGTTCTGGATATTCTGTGATTCTG